GAGAGGTGAGTCTGGGTTCAATGGCTCCGGGGCCGACCAGAGGAGTTGAGCGGCAGCCACATCCCCAGTGAAGGCATAGATGGTCGCTCGGACGAGCGACACGGCGAGAAGGGTCTTGGACGCAGAGGCAGGAGATCGGTCTGAGGAGAACAAGGACGATTTGTCAACCACGATTCCTACAGCCGCCAATGCCAAAAACACGGCGGCCAGGGTAAGCGAGCGCTCGCTGGAATGGAGTTGAAGGACGGTCAAGGAGATCAAAGCAACGGTAGCAATGCGATGGAGGGTGAGAGGGAGACGATTCCAGTTGGAAGTGTATTGTCCTTGTCCCAAGGGACACTGAGTAGTGCGACAGCGGAGGACGGGTTGATTCGACATAGGGGGCATAGTTGCCTATTGAACGTCTTGAGTAGATACTGTGAAAACTATGTCGAAAGTCTATTGTCTCGTACGCGACGTCCTCGTTGGCTTGGATGTTCTTGGTAGCGCTTGAGCGTCGGCTCGTCGGCAAGCACGATGGCGAGTAGATTAAGGAGTGTGGTCCAGTTATTAATGTTGTCTAGAGTACTGAACGTGTTTGCCGCTGCCCAGTTCGACTCTGTGGAGTAGCGAGAGAGAAAAACTGGAAGGGAAGGAACGGACAAGCAAGTTGTTTGGGTCGTGTGTTCGCGAGTCTACTTATCACTCGGTCATGATTATTTCTAGACTTTTTTTGGCCGCGCTAATTTGGACAGTCTTCCTTTCTTTGGTTCCTAGGTTTGTCTACCGGAGCGGAGTTCAACTTGTTTGACATCGCCAGCCGACGCGTAGACAGCTGTCGGCGACTGTAATAGACTCACCATAAAAATGTACAGAAAATCTCAAGAAAATAAATGATCGCTAGATCTGCATTTAAGCCAACTCGCACGTACATACGGAGGAATTCCGGGCTGAATTTAGCATGGGTTAGAAAGAAAAAGGGTTTTCAACGCGGCGACCTCCCGACACGTACGGGCGAAAGGAACGCGGATATTGAAAACGCAATCATACAAGGATACATTTTACGCCACATAACCGTCACGGATAGAACTCAGCAACGAGACCTATCAAGCCATCGCCCATTTTCAAAACAAATGTGCAAGAGCAGATGGGCTCTCGGGAACTCTCGTACGTGTCCGATCACCTTTCGTTATGCATCCTCATCAGAGCGTCTCCGCGTCTTATGCTATCAATAGCACCGTGCCGAGGCAAGCTACAATAGCCGCCCACCATCCGAACTTAGATGTCGCGACCGCGTCGTTCTGACTCTGACTGTGTCCATCAGAGATTTCTTGACCGCCTACTGCAGGAGGCACATTGAGGCCAGGAAAGTTGACAAGGCCAGGGTCGTCC